AATCTAGTTGTGTCCGACTCTGGGGGGTGGTGCTCATCTCCATTTCTAAGCTGAAGAGACAGTGTTGTCCTTAGACACCTCCAAGGTCATGTGGCCAGTATGACTGCATGGAGCATCATTACTTTCCACAGAAGCAGTACCTATTGATCTACTCATATTTGCATGTTGTCAAACTGTTAGGTTGGTGGAAGCTGGGGCTCACAGTAGGAGCTCATCCCGCTCCCCAGATTCGGACCACTGACCTTTCAGTCAGCAAGTTCAGCAGCTCAGTGGTTTAATAATAATAACTTAATAATTATTAAAATAATTAAAAGAATGAATACCGTAAAAACACAATCCAGAGCAGAAGAGAAAACTGGCGAAAGAAGGCTCTCCATGGACAGTTCCTGGGAAAAATTGAGAGCCAAATTGACAAAGAAAAAACATGGCTGTGGCTCACAAATGGAAATTTGTGTCCAATTCTGGGCACCACAATTCAAGAGAGATATTGACAAGCTGGAATGTGTCCAGAGGAGGGCGACTAAAATGATCAAGGGTCTGGAGAACAAGCCCTATGAGGAGCGGCTTAAGGAGCTGGGCATGTTTAGCCTGAAGAAGAGAAGACTGAGAGGAGATATGATAGCCATGTATAAATATGTGAGAGGAAGCCACAGGGAGGAGGGAGCAAGCTTGTTTTCTGCTTCCCTGGAGACTAGGACGCGAAACAATGGCTTCAAACGACAAGAGAGGAGATTCCATCTGAACATGAGGAAGAACTTCCTGACTGTGAGAGCCGTTCAGCAGTGGAACTCACTGCCCCGGAGTGTGGTGGAGGCTCTTTCTTTGGAAGCTTTTAAACAGGGGCTGGATGGCCATCTGTCAGGGGTAATTTGAATGCAATATTCCTGCTTCTTGGCAGAATGGGATTGGACTGGAAGGCCCATGAGGTCTCTTCCAACTCTTTGATTCTATGATTCTATGAAAAAGGAGTCGGAGGGCCAAAAACAAGCCATTAGAACCAATGCCATCAAAGCCAGAATTGAAAAGTCAGTGACAGATCCCAAGTGTAGACTCTGCAAGGAAGCAGATGGAACAACAGATCCCATCCTCAGCTGCTGCAAGAAGATCGCGCAGACAGACTACAAGCAGAGGCATAACACCCTGCTCAGATGATTAATTGGAACTTGTGCCACAAATACCATCTGCCTGCGACAAAGAACTGGTGGGATCACAAGCCGGAAAGAGTTACAGAAAATGAACATGCCAAACTCCTCAGACAGACAGAGTTTTGGAGCACAATACTCCTGACCTCACAATCATGTTAAAAAGGATCATGGACTGTCGATGTTGCAATCCCAGGTGACAGCAGGATTGAAGAGAAACAACTGGAAAAGCTGACACGATATGAGGATTTAAAGATCGAACTGCAAAGACTCTGGCACAAGCCAGTCAAGGGGGTCCCAGTGGTGATGGGCACACTGGATGCAGTGCCTAAAGACCTTGGCCTGCACTTAAACACAATTGGCACTGACAAAATGACCATCTGCCAGCTCCAGAAGGCCACCTTACTGGGATATGCACACATTATTCGCCAATACATCACACAGTCCTAGACACTTGGGAAGTGTCCGACATGTGATCCAATATAACAGCCAGCAGAAGGATCTTGTCTGCTGTGGACTCATCTTGTTGAGTTTCAAATAATAATAATAGACTCAAGGCGGCTAACATGGGGCCAAGCCCAAGCAATTACAATAAGACAAAGTAAAATACATTCAAAACAAGCTATAATGCCATATAACTTCATCATGTGATGACAAATCTTGGAGAGAAGTTAACAGATGAAGAAGTTGATGGGATTATTAGAGAAGCAGATATTGATGATGATGGTAAACTATGAAGAGTTTGTACAAATGATGACAGCAAAGTGTAAACACTGTACAGAATGTGTTAAATTTCTTGTACAAATTGTTTATTTGCCTTTTTCTCTGTTTGTAACTTATCAGCAAAAGGTTTTCCCTTACTGTCAAGAGAATATGCTTGTATAGTAACAAACCCATTCCTCCATGTTTTCCCCTTTTATCTGTCATCTTGATATTTTTGGGAAATGATCAAAGTAACAAATGCTTGCATGTGGCTTACTCTGGATATTTAAGCCCTTCCACACTTCTAAAACTAGATGGTATTGGTCAAACGAGGGAACATGTTTAAATTAGTTATTTTAGGACGCTTAGCATGTTGTTGAAATGTAGTCTTAACTTTGTGTGGACTATGGACAGTCAACAATATGGAACTTTAAAAATTAGCACTATTGCAAAACAGGTATTTTTGTGAGAGCCATTCAGCAGTGGAACTCTCTGCCCCGGAGTGTGGTGGAGGCTCCTTCTTTGGAAGCTTTTAAACAGGGGCTGGATGGCCATCTGTCAGGGGTGATTTGAATGCAATATTCCTGCTTCTTGGCAGAATGGGGTTGGACTGGATGGCCCATGAGGACTCTTCCAACTCTTTGATTCTATGATTCTATGATTCTAGGTGTATTATCCAGGTACTCATACACTATTTTTTGTACTCCTGGTCTTGTACCAGAAGACATTTTATTCTATGGTTACTATGCTTTTAAAACCTTTTGCTCAGCCACTTATTTTCAAAAGAATCTGCTTATGGCACAACTTGCCTCAAATCCATTCTAAGTTGTTATATTTGTTTTCCAATAAAAATACAATTAACCTTAAAAAAATGAAATGCAAAGATACAGAATGGGGGACACGTGGCTCGAGAGTAGTACTTGTGAAAAAGATCTTGGAGTCCTCATGGACAACAAGTTAAACATGAGCCAACAATGTGATGTGGCGGCAAAAAAAGCCAATGGGATTTTGGCCTGCATCAATAGGAGCATAGTGTCTAGATCTAGTAATGCTACCCCTCTATTCTGTCTTGGTTAGACCACACCTGGAATATTGTGTCCAATTCTGGGCACCACAATTGAAGGGAAATATTGACAAGCTGGAATGTGTCCAGAGGAGGACGACTCAAATGATCAAGGGTCTGGAGAACAAGCCCTATGAGGAGCAGCTTAAAGAGCTGGGCATGTGGTGGAGTGTGGTGGAGGCTCCTTCTTTGGAAGCTTTTAAACAGAGGCTGGATGGCCATCTGTCAGGGGTGATTTGAATGCAACATTCCTGCTTCTTGGCAGGGGGTTGGACTGGATGGTCCATGAGGTCTCTTCCAACTCTTTGATTCTATGATTCTATGTTTAGCTTGAAGAAGAGAAGGCTGAGAGGAAACATGATAGTCATGTATAAATATGTGAGAGGAAGTCATAGGGAGGAGGGAGCAAGCTTGTTTTCTGCTACCCTGGAGACTAGGACAAGGAACAATGGCTTCAAACTACAAAAAAGGAGATTCCATCTGAACATGAGGAAGAACTTCCTGACTGTGAGAGCTGTTCAGCAGTGGAACTATCTGCCCTGGAGTGTGGTGGAGGCTCCTTCTTTGGAAGCTTTTAAACAGAGGCTGGATGGCCATCTGTCAGGGGTGCTTTGAATGCAGTTTTTCTGCTTCTTGGCAGGAGGTTGGACTGGATGGCCCATGAGGTCTCTTCCAACTCTTTGATTCTATGATTCTAGGTGTATTATCCAGGTACTCATACTTTATTTTTGTGTACTCCTGGTTTTGTACCAGAAGACATTTTATTCTATGGTTACTATGCTTTTAGGTCGCAGGTTCGAATCTGGGGAGAGCGCAGATGAGCTCCCTCTGTCAGCTCTGGCTCCCTATGCGGGCACATGAGAGAAACCTCCTACAAGGATGGTAAAACATCAAAATATCTGGGCGTCCCCTGGGCAACATCCTTGCAGACGGCCAATCCTCTCATACCAGAAGCGACTTGCCATTTCTCAAGTCACTCCTGACACGGGAAAAAAATCTATGGAATCGCGGTAATTGTGATTTTACAAGGTCTTCTTTTCCAAAGGGTTTTAACACTGCCCCAAACTCCAAACCCTAGGCATTGAGCCACGGTAGTCCATGCTCTGGTTACATCCCGTTTGGACTACTGCAACGCTCTTTACGTGGGGTTGCCTTTGAAGACGGCCCGGAAGCTCCAACTGGTCCAACGTGCGGCAGCCATGATACTAACAGGAGCGGGACACAGGGAGCATACAACCCACCTGCTGTACCAACTCCACTGGCTGCCGATCTGCTACCGGGCTCAATTCAAGGTGCTGGCATTGGCCTATAAAGCCCTAAACGGTTCCGGCCCAAGATACCTAACTGACCGCCTCTCGGCCTATGAGCCCACGAGGACTTTGAGATCTTCCGGGGAGGCCCTGCTCTCGATCCCGCCTGCGTCACAGGCACGGCTGGCGGGGACGAGAGATAGGGCCTTCTCGGTGGTGGCTCCTTGGCTGTGGAACACCCTTCCCGTGGACATCAGACTAGCGCCCTCCCTGATGATATTCCGCAGGAAATTAAAGACCTGGCTGTTTAAGAAGGCGTTTGAACAAGAAGTGCAATGACTGGTAATTGACCATAGGAATGGAACAACGGAAAATGATACTGGATTGTGGCTTTGACGATGAGACGACACGGAATGGCTTTTGTAGTAATGATGATGTTTTTGATGAAGATGTTTTTTGATAACGATGAATTGTGGATTATTTTATACTGTGTCTTGTATTTTGCACCTTGTTTTTTCTATGTTGTACACCGCAATGAGTCGCCCCTGGGGCTGAGAATTGCGGTATATAAGCAAAGTAAATAAATAAATAAATAAATAAATAAATGGCATTCATTCTGCAGCATGGATACACTCTCTGGGCACAAAAGCGTTCTCCTGTTGTGCTTCTCAGACAGCTTTCAATTTCAGAGGGCCTGGACCGCCTGGCTCCCTGATTGGCTTGGAGGGGAGGATGCTGAGCTCCCTGATTGGTTGGCTGAGATTCTGTTTCAGGCTCATGGAACCTCCCCACAGCCTTATATACCAAAGAGCTGTCTTTTTTTTTTGCTAGTCCCATCTGACACTGAAGGAAAGGCAGCCAGAGAGAGTTGAGGAGGAGGAGGAGGAGGAGAAAGGAAGGAACAGCAAGGAAAGGAAGGTGTGGTGGAGGAATTTCCCCCCAGCTGGAGGAGGAAAGAGCCTTTGCAGGAGTGGGAGGGTGGGCTGTGGCCGCTGTCCAGCTGCTCTGCCTTGAAGCTCTTTCGGTTTGTCAGCAAGCAGGCTTTCTGGGGCAGCTCTCCACTTCCCGGCCTTCGGGCCTTTGGAAAGGAGAAGGTCAGGATCCCACCACCATGGCCTTCACTATGCTGCGACCCATGGCAGCCCACATGCTCTACCCAGACCTCAGCTTGCTGTCGGAGGAAGATGAGGAGAACCGGAGTGAAAGTGATGCCTCGGACCAGTCCTACGGATGCTGTGAAGGCCATCGGAAGGGGTCCAGGAAGTCTGGTCCAGTGGTGGTGGTCAAACAGCGGCAAGCAGCCAATGCCAGAGAAAGGGACCGGACCCAGAGTGTCAACACCGCCTTCACGGCCCTCCGGACCCTCATCCCCACGGAGCCCGTGGACCGGAAGCTGTCCAAAATCGAGACCCTGCGCCTGGCCTCCAGCTACATCTCTCACTTGGCCAATGTTCTGCTCCTGGGAGAAGGGTGTGAAGATGGGCAACCTTGCTTCAGTGCCATCTACGGCGGCAAAGGAGAGGTGGAGGCCAAGCAGCCAAGGAGCATTTGCACCTTCTGCCTCAGCAACCAGAGGAAAGGGGTAAGTCCCTTGGCTAAGGAAGCGCCATTCTCCATTTCAGCCCAAAGTGTGGTTGTCGGGTCTCAGGGCCTTGTCCAGAGTCTCCTGTGCTTGTGGGCATCCAACCAGGGACCAAAGGTGCAAATCATCATGTTCTTCTCAACCTTGTTCTCAACCTTCCTAATGCCAGGACCCCTTAATACAGTTCCTCATGTTGTGGTGACCCCCAACCATAACATTATTTTTGTTGCTGCTTCATAACTGTAATTTTGCTCCTGTTATGAATCGTAACGTAAACATCTGATATGCAGGAAGTATTTTCATTCACTGGACCACATTTGGCACAAATACCCGATACGCCCAAATTTGGTGGGGTTGGGGTATGTGTGATTTTGTCGTTTGGTAGTTGTAGTTGCTGGGATTTATAGTTCACCTACAATCAAAGAGCATTCTGAACCCCATAATGATGGAATTGAATCAAACTTGGCACACAAAACTCCCATGACCAGCAGAAAATGCTGGAAGGGTTTGGTGGTCATTGACCTTGAGTTTGGGAGTTGTAGTTCACCTACATCCAGAGAGCACTGTGGACTCAAACAATGATGGTTCTAGACCAAACTTGGCATGAATAATCAATATGCCCAAATGTGAACACTGGTGGAGTTTGAGGGAAATAGACCTTTACATTTGGGAGTTGTAGTTGCTGGGATTTATAGTTGACCTACAATCAAAGAGCATTCTGTGCCCCACCAACGATAGAATTGGGCCAAACTTCCCACATAAAACCCCCATGACCAACAGAAAATACTGTGTTTTCTGATGGTTTTTGGCGACCCCTCTGACATCCCCCTCACAACCCCCCCCAGGGGTCCCGACCCCCAGGTTGAGAAATGCTGTTCTAGGTTCAGCTCCAGGGAATTGTAGTTTTTTAGTAGATTTTTTCTGTCTCTGCCAAAGTGTGTTATTTCCTCACCAAACTACTTACTTAGGCGATCCATCATTGTCCAAGTAGAATTGTCTTCCAAGATTGGTGTCCATAGCTGGCTGTGGCGCCCTGTTCTTGACCTGCATGTTCTCCTGCAGTGAGGGCATTGGTTTCCAGGTGGAAGGCAGTCCCGGTCGGTGTTGGCTTGACGTGCCTTCCTCTTGGCACGTTTCTCTCTTTCGCCCTCCATTCATACCTCTTCACATTCTACAGCACTGCTGGTCACAGCTGATCTCCAGCTGGAACGCTCAAGGACCAGGGCTTCCCAGTTCTCAGTGTCTATGCCAGGGTTTTTGAGATTGGCTTTGAGCTCATCTTTAAATCTCTTTTCCTGCCCACCAAAGCCTCACCAAACTACAACCTCTAAGACTCCATAGCATGGAGCTGTGACAGTCAAAGCGGCATCAGAATTCATCAATTATACAAGAGTATCTCAGACCACTCTGGGGCCCCTTCTTCACTGCCATATAAAATCCTGATTATCTGCTTTGAACTGGGTTATATGGCAGTGTAGACTCATATAATCCAATGTGGATTATCTGATTTCATAATCTGGATTATATGGCAGTGTAGAAGGAGTCTTGGATCTCTGAATAATATCTCTGGAAACAAAGCCTGGTGAGGGAGCTGGGTATATTTAGCATGGAGCAGAGAAGGTTAAGAGGGGACACGATAGTCATGTTTACATGTTTCAAAGGATGTAAGGAAGTTGAATGTCAAGATGGAACCCACACAGGCCAAGAGCAAAGAAGAGTCTTGTGAAGGCATGTGTTTCTTTTTCTTAATCAAACACCTGATTTTTACAAGCCACAGTGTATGTTTTGAGAGCCTCTGGTTAGGGTCAAGGTTCAGTCTGGAAATTAGTGACAAAGTGGAGTTAACCGGTATGAGTGGTTGGATCAGGGGCTGGCCTGGAGTCCCAAGTTATCATGGGTCATCTCCAGCCAGAGAATAAGGGTTCTCCTAGGTCCAGTTCTGGGCAAAAGGTAGGTGCAAATCTCCAGCTTAGAGAGCAAAGCAGCAGCTTGCAACAATATGCCAAGATTGATTGATTCCTTCCTGCAAGTTTCTCCAGGGGAGATTATGTATGTGCTCAAGCTGTGTCCACACTGTGGAATTTTTGCAGTTTGATGCCACATGAACCAACTTGGCTCAATGATATGGATTTGCAATTTGGTGAGATATTTACTCTTCTCTGACTGAGAGTTCTGGTGCAACAACAACAACCTACAATGCCCAGGATTCCACACGATAGGGCAGTTAAAGTGGTGTCAAACTTCTGTAAATCTGCAGTATAGATGTTCTGAGTGGGTCCACCTATGCCTCCCAATTGTTGCGGTCCCAGGACACATCTCTGCACTGGTTTGTATTAGAAGTATAGGAACAGTTCTGTTAACGGAGAGTTCTGTCTTAATTTGCATGTGTGTTTGAATGGCAAGCATGTGTTGGCATTTCAACACTTCGTGCCATCACCAGCAATTGTCTATAAGGGAGGAGAGAGGGAGGGGGCATAGAGAAATTCCCCCCCATAGCAAGGAGGAAGGAAGGAATGTCTATAGTGGGGAAAGGTTGGGGAGAAGGAAGGAAGGAGGGCTGGGGTCTTTCCAAATTGCTGGCAGAGAAAGGGAGAGAGGCACAGTTCCCCTTTGCCTTCTTCGCCCTTCCATCCCCTTGTACACATTTGATGTTTCAGGATGTTAAAACCCCCCAAAATACACTATACACACACACACATATACACATATGTATATGTATGTATGTATGTATATATATATATATATATATATATATATACCCAAGCACACACAAATATACACACATATATACATATGCACATGTACACACAAATATGCACATGCACAAATACATACACACATATATAAACACAAATATGCATATAGACAAGCACACACATATACACAATATACACATATAAAAACATAAATATATGCACACATATATACACACATATACACATCTACACACACACACATATGCACACATATATACACCCATATATATATACACACACAAACACACACAAAAAACACACATATATACACATACACAAATATATACACACATATATACACACAAAAAACACATATATACACCCAAGCACACTCAAATATACACACACATACATCTATATATACACACATATATACATATACACATGTACGCACAAATATGCACGTGCACAAATACATACACACATATATAAACACAAATATGCATATAGACAAGCACACATATATACACAATATACATATACACATATAAACACACAAATATATGCACACATATATACACACATATACACATCTACACACACACATATACACACACATATATATATATACACACACATGTCAATGAACACAGATACACAAATATATACACACATATAAACACATGTATACACACACACACGAAACACATATATACAGACTGGGACACAGCAATGTGTGGCAGGGGACGGCTAGTAATAATAATAATAATAATAATAATAATAATAATAATAATAATAATAGTTTTATTTCTTGCCTGCCTCTCCTCAAAGGTTGAGGTGGGTGACAGAATTACTAAACCTAAACAAACACATAATTATTTTAAAACACTCTGTAAAATACACATATTAAAACATACTTGTGTATCAAAATGCACAAAACAAAAACAAGGCATACAGTGGAGTTTTAAATTCACCATTAAAATTGTCTGGGTAGGTTATGTAGGTTTTGTCTGCAAAATCTTCACTAGCAAATGCCTCTCATTTGAAAAAGGCAGCCCAGCTTGTAATTCAGGACCTTTTGATCCCTCTTCCAAAGAACAAGGAAGGTTAGTCATGTTGTTGCTAGATGCCGTTCCCTGATAGCCAGTGGCTAGTAGCCTGTAGCTGATCGATGGTTCTAGATTTTGAATTCTGGATCCAGTGCAGTCCAGGTTAACTGGAGCAAATAGTCCAAACGGGTGCATTTTTGGGGGTGAAAGGAAAAGATCACAGACTATTAGAAATGAACACTGAGACCCTCTTGAGAACCTACGTCTTCCAAAGTAGGCTTGCTTTTTGTGGAAATTGGAATTGCACCGTTGTGTAACGTCCATGGGAGTCCCCGGTGGCGCAGTATGTTAAACCTCTGAGTGCTGAACTTGTTGACCGAAAGGTCGCAGATTCTAATCCAGAGAGCGGGGTGAGCTCCCACTGTCAGCCCCAGCTTCTGCCAACCTAATAGTACGAAAACATGCAAATGTGAATAGATCAATAGGTACCGCTCTGCTGTGAAGATAACGGTGCTTCATGCAGTCATGCAGGCCACATGACCTTGGAGGTGTCTATGGACAATGCTGGCACTTCGGCTTAGAAATGGAGATGAGCACCAACCCCCAGAGTCGGACACGACTGGACTTCATATCAGGGGACAACCTTTATCTTACCGTAACATCCATTTGAGGACTGCTATGCTGTTATGTTACTGTGTGAGCCAGAATGGTGTAGTGGTTTAAGTATTGGATGACGATTTTGGAGACCAGGGTTCAAATCCCTGCTTGGACATGGAAATCTACTGGGTGACCTTGGGCAAGTCGTACTCTCTCAGCCTCAGAGGAAGGCATAGGGATGCCTGCTTGGAACAAACCTTGCCAACAACAACAACAACAACAACAACAACAAAATGTATTTATATCCCCCCACCATGTCCCATAGGAGCCCCTGGTGGCGCAGTGGGTTAAACCCCTGTGCCAGCAGAACTGAAGACTGACAGGTCACAGATTCGAATCCAGGGAGAGTGCAGATGAGCTCCCTCTGTCAGCTCCAGCTCCTCATGTGACATGAGAGAAGCCTCCCACAAGGATGGTAAAAACTTCAAAACATCCAGGCATCCCCTGGGCATGTCCTTTGCAGATGGCCAATTCTCTCACACCAGAAGTGACTTGCAGTTTCTCAAGTCACTCCTGACACAACAAAAAAAAACATATCCTATGCGGGGGCATTAGAGAAGCCTCCCACAAGGATGGCAAAAACATCAAAACATCTGGG